ATACCTACAGCTGGTCGAAGGCACATCTTTCGACCCGGCGGAGGCGGGTAAACGTCGGTCCATCTTCGGGTACTACCAACGGGAAGGAGAAGAAGCGCCGGACTTACCTTTTTTGCCCTCCGGGGACCCCCCGGAAGACGCCGAGCTTCCCGTCTTCCGCCGGGAGCAGTTTGTGAACACGACCTGGACGTTGGGGACCGTTTCGGACGGTTGGAATCCGTTGAAACGCGTGCAACGGACCCGGGTATTCTTTCGGGAGGACGGTCGCGTCATTTGGGTCAATGGGGGAAACAAGGGGGAGTGGACGTTTGACGCGCGCAGCAACGTCTTTCGCTTCGGGCGGGAATCGTTTTTGAGTTGGAACGGCCGCCGGAGTTACCCTACTCTACTGACGGAGGAGCGCTCTTTGTACTACATGCAAGGTTTCGTGATTGGGTGGGCGCCTTTCACCCCTTTAAGCGTCTTCGGTTTGTGGCAAATGTATCGGGACGACGTGAGTGAGGAGGAAAGAGGGGTGGCACCCTGGGAGGAGGAGGAAGAGGGACGGGAGGGAGGGGAGGGAGGGGAAGGGGGGAAGAAGAGTATGTTGCGCGGGTGAGACGCGAAGGAGAGGGAGGAAAAGCAGGCGAGGAATGGCTGCGACTTGTGCCTTGGAACGACAGGCATGATGGGCGGAGGGAACGATCACATCAGAAAAGGGCGCAGAGGAGGAAATAGGAGAGGGGATAAGGCAACAACCAGGACTTTGGGATAGGACGGGTCAGCGAGCCTTTGACCGAGAAAGTAGCGGAAATTCGAGAGATTGCGTTGATCGTGTAATGGCATTTGTGGAAATAAGAGCCATTGTTAGGACGCTTCTTCAACATGTTTCGCCAACTCCGGGTGACATTTGTAGGTAACACCGACCCGTCATCCTTACTCATGCGTTTCTCCTCTCGTCTAAATCTTAGCCAACCGTTTTCCACCCTACATGTACCTTATTTTACTTCTCAATTCTCTTCTTGTTCACAAAGTTGTCGACGCAAGTTTTTGAACCCCTGCTTACAGCTTGTCTCAACGTGAGTTTTAGAGGGGGAGGACAAGGAGAAGGACGATATTGTATACTGAGTGCGCAGAGAGCAACCTCCAGAAAGGAAGATCAGAAGCCAGACAGGGCCCACAAAAGCCTGAAAATATAAACAAGAGCAAGTGGATGCGCCATCCCAGCGTCATAATCGGCATGTGTACATTGGGACGAATTAGAAGAACCCAGATGGCAAAAGCCATGTTGAGCAAGTCTGCAGCTTTGACGGCAACGATGAGATAAATTACCAGTAGAACAGGGAGGTCACGACTTAATATCTTCAGGGCTTCTTCCTCTATGGGAGCACCGCTAAAGGCAGCCTGAAAACCGGGGCACAACTGCGCATGCTGGAATAGCCTGAGGGTTTGCATTAGGAAATGTATGCAGGCACCAAGTTGCAAGATCCAGCGAAGCCAAAAAGACTGCCCTTTACGGGTCCATTCAAGAGGATTGTGACTGGATAGAGCATACTGCTTCGTACGTTTATCGTAGGATTCACATGGATAATTCGCTGTCACATGTTTGACCCGTCTCCCAACGTTTGCGCGAGGAAAGCCGGAGGTGGTAGAGGGCAGCTCTGGAAAAGAAGGAGGCCGGCAGGCGCTTGTATTGATACCAGCGCTCATAGCACGTTAAACTGTAGATTTACATGTATCAAGATTTTTTAAGCGGTCAGATGAGTCCGCAACGGGCTAAAAAGAGAGGCATAGGCGGGACAGGTGGTCAAGGCCGCAGAAGCAGGAACGAACGTGTGACAAGTTGAACTTCAACATGGGGAGGATAAATAAACTAGGACAGACTTTGATAACAGTGTGCCTGCAAACACAACACCCCACGTCAACGGCTGTAGCGTTGTTGTCTACATGCGTATGATGAGCTTGGGTGTCGAATTCTTCATGTGCCCCCATGCACTGAGGACCGCTTGGTCAAGTTACCGGGAGTTCTCGGAAGGAGGAACGAAGGAAACTGTGACGCGGAAAAGTCACGCTGCCACCATTGACCCGATTTAAACGCAACCAGTATCTCTCTGTGCACTCATTCTGGAAGCATTTATATACGGTGAACACTATGTTAAATTCGGAGGGGCTCACTTTTGCACACAAACAAAAAAGCGATTTCGGCTGAGCAGGATTGCTCGCACTTATTGCAATCGTTACGGGACGCAGGAAGCTTCAAAAGCTCAAAAGCATATAAGATGGCTTTATCACTTTTTATTTGCTTCTATGAGTAATAAAGGACAGTTCGAGCCCTATAAAAGTCTTCTCCTTGAGGTATATGTAGGTTCATGGCATTGGTTTCCTGGTCTGGCCTCTCCTTTTCCAGCAGAACCAGGCTAACTTGAATAAAATTTGAAGTGATAGATGAAATGATTAAGCCAGGCCTCAGTAAAAAAACAAGTCTGGTATGAGCTCTGTCTGGGAGAAGTAATGAATGTGTATCTGTACAGCTTTCGGGTGTTCTATCCTCCTACTATGGTGCGCAATGCTCACGTCCCGCTGCAATACATTCTGTATCATGAATCAGATGACGCGATCGATCATGCCTATGCTTCAACCATCTCAAATTTACAATGACTTCCCTTTTTTCCCACTGTTGCACAGGGACTTTTCATGCTAGTATCCTCCACGCATGCCTCGCCCAGCCCATGTGCACACAGTCAAGGCCACCTTGCGGGGAGGAGACCAAGAACAAGCATATTATGCCACCTTTTCATATCTTTTTTCCTCGTGCTACTGCCATTCATGGTGCAAGGCTTTCTCCAAGTACCACACCAGCCCTCCATGGCGCAGGCGGGCCCCCCTCACCCCCTCGGCCCATCCCGCGCGCTCTCACCGGCCTTTTGCCAAGCGTGCTTCCATGAACATAATCATAAGGATGGTGGCCGCAAAACACGAAGACCAGGAATGCCCGTGCTACATTTTCGCGGATCGTGTGGATGTAATGCCGCCCTCCAGCCCGTACTGAATGCGTTGGGTCCGTATTTCCCCCATACTGATGAAGACACGCCCGACAGAGAAGGGAGCCTGGACGTGCCTGAGGCAGTCGATGAGTCATTCGACGAAGTAGAAGAAGTTCTCGCCCCCACCGACGCCAGTTCTGCCATTTTGATCAATTTTTTCCGGGGATACAAACGGTACATCTCCCCCCTTCTCCCGCAGGCCTGCCGCTTCTTCCCCACGTGCAGTGAGTACGCGATAGAGTCGGTCCAGAAGTTCGGGCCTGCGAAAGGGGCGGTGCTGACCGCCTGGCGGCTCCTGCGATGCAATCCGTTGGGGGGGAGAGGCTGGGATCCTCCACAATGGCCGCCGCCGGGGTGGAAGGCGGGAGGGACGGGGAGGTAGGGAGGGAGGTATGGAGGCAGGAAGGGAGGGAGGGAGGGAGGGAAGGGAAGAGTACGGCTTCGTGTAAGAAACGATGTGCGCGGATTGCGGCGAAGCAAAAGGCTATGCCCTACGCACCCCTTTGGGATTTCATCAGGAGGTCTCCCGGCCCAGGGTGGGGGTCCAAGGCGTCATAGCAAGGGCACGTCCACCTCCAGGACATGGTGGACCTAGGAATGCCAGGTTTCGCCTGTAAGAACGCCTCTGTCCTTTCCCTTGCCGTTCGACGGATTGCTGCTGCTATTGTGTCGTTTGAGCCATCTGAATATAAATCACGGCTGCCCGCCCTTTCCAGAAGTCTCGGTAAATTAGGCACCAAGAGCTTATGCGCATTGCCCTTGGTAGCACATGGGCCAAATTTTGAAAAAAGCGATACACAAGCCATCGGGCCCCACGAGGGTTGGGAAAATAAAAAAGATTGTCTTTCGTCGGTACCATCACACTTCTGCTTTGGTTCATTTACTTCGTGTCTCGCCATTGCGCGTCCCTCGCTGCCACCCCCTCAGAAAGCGACAGCAGTCTCCCCACCCACCCCGACCTCCCTCAGTGCCTCTTCCCCTCCTTTCTCTTTCCCTCCCTCCCTACCCCATTAAATCACCCGCCGTCAACCCCAATCGTTTCGCGCCATCCAATTTCGCCATTGCCAACACCTTAATCTGCGCAAGTTCTTCCAGATCATCTTTTGTACGGCAAATTTGCATCCCTAATGGATCAGGAAGAAAGGAAGACAGAAGGTGATGAGAAGAAAAATGGGAGGATGAGGAAGAAAAATATGACGACGCAGGACTCTTTCTCTCTCTCACTCCCTGTTTCCGTCCGTGCTCCTCCCCCTTGGTTGACCCCTTTCCCTCTCTTCATTTGCTACCTTCACCCTTCGCTTCCTCCTTCCAGTCACTCAAGGCCTACGCCTTCAATGCGGTGACGCCATGCCCCTCCCTTGTCTCCCTGTCCCCCCTACCTCCCCTGCCGACTCACCCTTGTCGATGATCTCAAAGGCAGGTTTGCTGTCTTCCACAGTACTCACACCTTTGAACAACAAATTTGCTAGGAAGGAGTAGGCGGGCTGGTACTGCGGGTCCATTTCTATCACGTGCTGGAGGGTTTCTCGTGCCGTCACCGCATCCTCCCCTTGCCATGCCACGAGCGCCTGCGGGCATGAAGGAGGGCGGGAGGGATTGTGGGAAGGAGGGCGGGAGGGATGGCAGGGGGAGAGTAAGGAAGAATCGGACTGGGGGGTGGGCCTTTGAGGGAGGGAGGGCATACCTTGTTGATGTGCGGCATGGGGTTGGAAGGATCGAGACGAATGCTCTTTTCCAGCTCTTTCCCGGCCTCTTCCACTTTTCCTTGCATGAGCAGAAACTCGGCGTAGGCGGCGACGACGTCCGCGTTCCGAGGTGCTGCGCGCTTGGCCTGAGAAGAGGAGGGAAGGAAGGAGCGAGGGAAGAAGGGAGGGAGGGGGGGAGGGAGGTGAGTACGTGAGTTGGGGCCGGGTCTTGAAGTGTGGCTACAGGAGCAGGCGGGGGAAGTATGAGA